CCTTCTCCTTCTCCTCCCCCTTCTCCTCCTCCCGTCCTCTTCCTACGTATCGTTCCATGGGCCTGCGGCTCCCGAGGGGAGACACCGCTGCGCGAATATCTCCTAGCCCTGCAAGGGCATCAAGTTGATGGCGTCCTCGACGTGCTTCTTGACCCATGGGTGCGCGTCCTGGTAGCTGTTGGGCTTGCTGCTGTTGCCTGAGTTGCGCTCCGAGCGACATTTCTGCTGCAGCTTGTTCTTGTCCCTCACCAATGCCATGACGCCGATGATCGTCGCTTCCTTACTGGTCGTGAACGCCTTCTTCAGCTTGACCTCGAGCGCGGCTTCCCACGCAGTGTCTGGGCTCGTGTCGAAAGCTTCCCGTTCTGTCTTGGCCTTGTCGAAAGCCGCCTTGAACTCATTCGCCTGCTGATTGAATTTCGCTGGGTTCAGCGTGAGGAGCGTCTTCTGCGCATGCTTGTGGAGGGCCGCGGACGTGTTATCGCCGACAAGCAAGCCATGCCAATCCGAGCCGTCGAAGGTGCCGCCGTGTGCCGTCTCAAGGCTCCTCTGGTTCTCGTCGCCGTCGTCGAATGGCTTAGTCCACACCGCGTTGGCGGCGGCCTTCGCAAGGAGGTAGCGCTCGAGGGCATCGGCCTTGATCGTCTGCTCGGTGATCGTCAGAAGGTCCGTGATCAAGTCTGCTTGCTGGAAGGACGGTGAGAGCTGCCTGAACTGCGCCTCGATCGCCTTGCGGCTGCTGTAAAGGAGCTTCAACACCATGCCGTCGGGGTCACCGTTGGCGATCCGAGCTGCGAGGTCAGCACCAGACGCGATGTACTTGCGATGGGCCGTCTTCGTCTCAACGATTGTGCCCAGCAAGCGGTGCGCAACACTCCAGTCACGCCTCTGGGTAGAGCTCGGGTGCAATAGCTGCATCACGTGTCCGACGAGGCCGACCGTATCGTCTGAAAGGTTATCTGCATTGTCGATCATCTTCTGGTACACGCCCTGCAAGAGATTGACTGCTGCCTCCTGGACGTTCGCTGGGAATGGATTCTCTAGATCTGCCACGCGCATGATATCGGTAACCTTTCCGATGAAACTATCCCTGGACTCTTGGTTCATCAACTCTTCGGGCCGTATCGAACTGATGATGCTGCCGAATCCTGCTTTGGACACCTCGACGCACATGAGACGCCCGATCTCTTTGCAAGACTCGATGGCACTGGTGATGGTCGGAGCAAGCCTGAAACAACCGCAGTCCTGCGCGATCCCCAAAAACCGCTGCACAGATTTCAACACCTCGATGTGGGAGGGCAACTCCGAAGGCTCCACTGTGTTGGCCCTCCAAGCGTCCGAGATCACTTTCACCTTGATGCGCAAACACAAATCTCCCGACAACACCACGCTTCCGTCGGGGTTGCTGCGGGCCTGCCTCACTACGAATCTACGCGTCGATCTCCCTAGTTGCGTACCGCTCGGGGGAGCTCAGGGGGGCGCCCAACTGGGGGGGCAGGCCAGCATCACCAAGAACAAACGGCATCAATCAAGTCCAATGGCGGCCACCGTCGGGGAAACAACACGGGCCAATCGTCGGGTCAACCATCGGGACCAGCGCCACAGCATCGGGAATCCATCGGGGACAATTCCCAAGACAACCCCACCACATTTACCTAGCGAGATCGCCACCAGTAAATCCCAGGAGCTATGTATCGGCATCGCTGCAAGAAGACTTCTGTTAGCTACCGATCAGTGCAGCGACCGAATTACTTCTCTATCGATGTAACGATCTCACGATCAACCTGTCTGCACCACAACGGTTTACCTTAAGAACGGCTGTCGGAACGCACATCGGCACAACCACAACGACAACCATCGATACACTCCTTAAGATATCCTCGCACTCCTGGCGCGCACCCGAGAGCACGCCTGTTCGATGTCTCGCATGACCCAACAGAGCCCCACGTGCAGAAGGACTCACATAAAGCCACAATTGGTGAAGGGGGCGGCGGAGGGATATCGATTCAGTCCAGAGACCTTGACAGCCAACGCCTCCAGGTAGGCCATGAGCTTCACCTCGAGCACCTTGGTGGCACCCTCTCGCGAGTTCTTCCTCAACGTTGCCATGTTCTTGATGCGCTCCTCAAGCTTAGGCATGACTTCTATCGGGTCGGCCTGGTCCTCAAGGACCATCGTGGCAAACCTGATCTTGTCCACGCTGAGCGGGTGGGTCACCTGGGCGACCCGCCCACTCTCCCCGTGAATGCCGCCCATGCCGCCCGAAGGCCGCCTCATGGTCCTCCAGTCGTGTCCTTATCCTCCACCCCCGCCGAAGGTCCACCATGCCATCCTGCTCTTCCTCCCCAGCCAACCCCACAATTCACCCCTCGTGCACCCCGTCACCACCACCCTACGGAGATCCATCCAGCCCAACCGTCAGACTCGGGGCCACCCGTTCCAGAACCTCGGGCCCGCCCACGTGACAAGTCCAGCAAGAACCGTTTCGCCCAATTCACCTTGGTCTTCTTGATGGACACCACGTTGTTGGCGAAGACGGCCGTCTCGCACATCCGCTCGTTGAAGTAGAACCTCAGGCCCTTCCACTGACCGTCGGAGGGCGGCGGCTCGGCCGCCGACAGCGCGGCGAAGTCGGCCGCGAACTTGAAGTTCAACGGGTCGGGGTCCATGACGTACTGGGCTGCCCGCAAACACTCCACCGCGGAGTTCACGCTCAACTGAATCGCCTCATCGACGTCCTCCCCCATTGAGTTGATCAATACTTGGTCGATCTTCTGACACATGCCGATGCACTGCTCTGTAGTTCGTGACGTGGACCAGCTCCGCAGCAGCGGGCACAACAAATAGGAGAAGGTCGCGCTCTCAAACCTGACCACCTTCGCCGCTGCATCGCCAGGGATCTGGTACCCGCACGGGTCCCGCCAATCAAAGCCAAGCTCGCCCTCGGGACACTGCAGCTGCTCCTCGCCCTCAACCGACACCAGCGCCGTCGGCAATACGATCTTGAAGAACCCCACGATGTCATCCGAGTAGCCGCTCGCGATCTCTGCCCCCACGTCTGATGCCGCGCGGTTGCCGATCTCGACTGCAAGCGAAACTGGTATCACCATGCCCGTCGAAACTAACGCTGTCATCTTTGTCTCGAACACATCTGGAGGCAACGTGTGCAGCAACTCTGGTTTCGACAAGTCCTCTGCGTACACTGCCAAGGCGAGGCGCTTCGTGATGAGCCCCGCGGCATCGATCTCGACCTGGTTGGATGACCCGCTGAGCGTGTCTCTCCTGGCCTTCAGACGCGCCCTCTTGTGCCCAAGGTTGTTCAGTCCACTCGCGATGGTGGTGAGATTGGTGGCCCTGAGCTTCTCCTGCAACATGCTCTCGAAGTTCTCCCCAAACTTGAGCTGACCACCAGCGCCACCCGACACCGTGGAAGCGGCATCGTCATCGTCATCTTTATTGTCTTCGTCATCGGCTCTGCAACAGGCCACAGTCGCCACAAAGCCCCACCTTCCCTTGGTAAGCTTGGTCCAGTAGCCGTACTTGGCAGGCTGCTTAGCTTGCTGCTCCTCCTGGGACAGTGGCAAATCACCGCCAGCCTCGGCGGCTTCCGCGCCGTCGGCCGGCTCGCCATCGCCAGCGGGAGAAAGCACGGGCCTGGGGACGCAAGCGTCGTAGCTGATGTCCTGCAGGCGGCATCGCTTGTACTGGGCATCCTCCTGCCCACTCGGGCGAACCATCTCGGCAAAGAAGCCCTTGCCCTGGGACGCCACCAACTGGTTGTCCGCCATCAGCCTATACCCGTCCTCGGTCGTGGAGCGCGAGACGCCGTGCTCAACGATGACGCCGACGTCGTCGGCGAGCCGCTCGGTATCGTTGACCAGAACCACCTGCATCTTGCTGGTCGGGTCGTCGGGGTTGTCGACCAGCGATAACTTGAAGCCCTCGACCTCGTGGCTCTGCTTGAAATGGTCCTCAGCGGCAGCGGGGAAACGCAAGTAGTGGTGCAGCCCCCCCCCATGGATCCAACGATCGCGCTTCCATCGGCGTCCTACTCCTCCATGTCCGCCGCCCCCATCGCCATCCAACCTGCAACTCCCCCCGAGGCCCTCGACCTCCACCGCCAAACCAACCCTGCTCAATGCCAGACCCTGGAACCCAGGCCCGAGAATGCTTCCGAGAAGGCCGAAGCTGCAACATTCAGAAGAGGATGGCCCCAAGATGGGTTTCTCAAAACCAGAAGGAAACGCTCAACTTACACGTTCAAACCCATCGTCCTCGAATTCTGACGCGGTGAGCCCACGCTTGCGCTTCAGCACCCTGGTGAAGAACGACTGGCTGCGGTAAACGTCGCTGGGAAAGAAGAACGCGCGGTGCTGGCGAGACCGCAAAGCTGAGCAGAACACCTCCGAAAAAGCCTGGTCCTCGTTGCACTTGGCGATCACCGCCCCAGGGTTCCCGATGAAAGCAAAGGAGTCGCACACAGGCCCGCAATCCCAACTCGCTGGCCCAGCTGGGAAGTAGACCTCCGACGGCGAGGGGAGGGGCAGGTCGAAAACAACGGCCCTGGCGCCCCCTGCGAGCTCCAAAAACAATACACTGGAAACCTTCGACCTTCGAAGCCCAAGGCTCACGATCCTGAACTTCACCCCTGACCAGACCCCGCAAACCTGTATAGAATGAGCCGCCGAAGCGACCCAACTGGAATATCAAAACGGCGTCGTTCGTCCTTTGCGGTGGCCAACCTGAGCCGACAACCCGCTCTGGGACCAAAGGGTCCATCGAACAAAAAAACGAGAGCGTGCCAAAGAACATCGTTCCCAGAGGACCTCCTTCCAGTCGTTTGTTCCCCACCTTCTTCCACTCGAAGCTGTAATTACCCCACACCTTGCAATTGAACTCGTCGTTGTTATCAGCTTTGGCCAGGGTGTTGGGGCACTCAGTACGACCACGCTTATGAGGGGCCTCGAGGAGCTCGTCTGTGTAGGCCTCCACGCCGGCGTTCGTCAAGTAGGGCTTGGCATCGATGATGGCCTTCTGCGGGGTCTTCGCCGATGCTGGAGAAATCACCGCTGCCGCTGCCGACGAAGCTCCTGACACACGGCGCGACTTCGCGGCGGGCGTCGTCTCAGGCTTGACGTTCATCGCGCTGCCGCCGCCCATGGAGCTCATGATGTCATCGTCCCTGGCAGCAAGCAGCACGTTGTCCTTGCCCTTGCTCTTGGCGCCAAGCTTCCCGCCCTTGCCTCTGCAGCCGCCAGAAGATTTCATGACCGTCAAGCGACGCAATGGCTAAGCCCTGATGGACGTGCTGGGCAAGCACTCAGCACCGACAAGTCATGCTGTCGTGGAAAAATGTGAGTGGCCTGAAACTTGATCCGAAGCCCCCACGGTGACGATGAGTTGAAGCAAACAATTGACAACTGTTGGCAATGACTTTCCACGCACCCTCATTGCGACGTCCCTGGGACTGACCGAGAAACATACTTCCAATAAAACCAACGGAGACGGCAACGCTAAATCCCACGGGCAACAACGCGCCTGCAAACCATGCGCATTGCGCAGCGCAGACTGCATTCTCATGCCAAGTCGCCCCAGGGCCTTAGGGCCTCATCCTCAGCCACCAGACCTCTGCCCTCAAGCCTCAATCCTAGTTTTCTGTCCGCAGCCTCAGTCCTCAGCCATGAGGAGTCATCCAGGGGTTCGGGTGGGAAGGCCTTAAATACACTGGGCCTCCTCTCGGGACACCTCATGAATTTTGGGCTTCTCACTAGTGATGCCCCTCACGCCGATCGTGGCCACCGAGCGTAAAACGTCGCGCCCTCTGCCCTACGAGGCATCCAAGAGGCTACAGTAGGCCCCTGTAAGGAGCGCCAACGAGAACCCCAAGATACACCGACGAAGGCCCGAGGGGCCTCCAAGAGGCTCCATGAGCCCTCCGAAGAAGGCACGCGGATGCCAAAACCACTCATGTGCTTGAATATGTTTAAAAAATGGTTGCGTTCTCGCCTTCTCGGCTTTCCGACGTTCCAAGACGCCGAAGGCCCACAAAACCGCCCCAACACAGTGCAAGAGGCCTCCAAGCGACGCCCAAGGTTACCCACGAGAGCCCCAAGACCAGAGACGGCCCAGCACGCGGCCGAGACGGACCCAGAGCGCCCCAAGGCTTGGCCCAAGATAGCCAAAGAACCCCGATGAGGGCTAAACCATGGCAGGCTGTGGAGGAGGAGGATGAGGGGGAGGAGGAGGAGAATGGGGAGGAGGGTAGAGATACATAAGACCACTAAGAGCCCCAAGAGCCCCAAGAGCCCTAAGAGCCCTAAGAGCCCTCGGACTCAAGAGCCCTAAGAGCCGTAAGAGCCCTAAGAGCCCTCAGAACCTCAAGAGCCCTAAGAGCCCTAAGAGCCCTAAGAGCCCTGAGAGCCCTGAGAGCCCTGAGAGCCCTAAGAGCCCTAAGAGTCATAAGGGTCCTAAGAGTCTCAAGAGCCCAAAGAGCCCAAAGAGCCCTAAGAGCCCTAAGAGCCCGAAGAGCCCGAAGAGCCCTGAGACCCCTGAGAGCCTTCACAGCCCTCAGAGCCATAAGCCCTAAGAGTCCTAAGGGCCCTAAGAGCCCAAAGAGCCCTAAGAGCCCTCAGGGCCCTGAGAGCCCTAAACGCCCTGAGAGCCCTAAGGGCCCTAAGAGCCCTAAGGGCCCTACGAGCCCAAAGAGCCCAAAGAGCCCTAAGAGCCCTAAGAGCCCGAGAGTCCCAGGAGCCCTAGAGCCCTAAGAGCCTTAAAATCAGAGTGAGAGGGCCGAGCGGCCATTCATCATCATATCTGGGTGCGTGGCTGATGTGGGACCCCTCAGAGTCTCAGAGTCACGGGCGGGCTTGCCTGACGGGCCGCACATGGCATCAGGGGGGGGAGGAGGAGGAGGAGGAGGAGGAGGAGGAGGAGGAGGAGGAGGAGGAGGAGGTGGAGGAGGAGGAGGAGGAGGAGGGGAGGGAGAGGAGAAGGAGGGGGATGATGCGGACGAGGGGGAGGAGATGAGAGGAAGTGAAGGGGAAACCACGCGGGCGTTTTTCTTCCTCTCGGAAGAGGGGGGGGGGGGGACTCACGGCTCATCTCGTGGCGCGTGCGCCATGGGGGGAGAGGGGCGGAGCGCGCGGGTTGGCAATCTCAAGCACGCGGACCCGATTGCTGTCCATATGTGTTGGGTTTTGCTGTCTGGTAGGCATCATTCTCTGCTGTATGGTAGTCGGTTCACTGCTATCTGGTGGGGTTGCTTACATGCTGATCCTTGGTATCTGGCAGGTTTGGTCTGATTGTTCGTTGGGCCTCGTTTGGGTCGGCAGGGAAGGAGCGCAGCTCAGGAACAGAAGACATACAATCATGCGAAGACGCAACTTTTCACACCTCAATTGCATGCGCACATACAATTCGAGTGGAGCGGCAGCGACCTCCTGTCACGGCCCTCATCTGGAACAACTGGCGCTGCAGCCACTGATGTTGCTCATGCTGGTGTTGCAGCCACTGGTGCAGTCACTGGACCTGATATCTTCAACAACTGGCGCTGCAGTCACTGACCACTGGTGCCAGACGGATGCTGCTCATGGCGCGCGGGGCTGAATAATGTCACGGTCGTCTTGGAGCCGCTCTTCACCTCCATCGTGATCTTGTAAGTGGTTTGTGCAGGATTCAGGTCTTTGAAGTTAATCGGGAACCTGCTGCTCAGCTTGTCAACGAAGCCCTGCCTGATGCCTAGCGGGGCGTCCTCCCATGCATCCCATTCCGACGTCGCCACCATGTAGAGCTCCTCTGCCACGGTCTTGGTCTTGTGCGTGCGCGCTGGTGGGGACCTCGAGCGAGGCGGTGTCTCGATCGCCACTGCCTCGGACTTGCTCTCGTCGGCGTTGGGGGTCTTGTGGAGTGGCTGCTGCTTTCCCTGTGGGCTGGTGTTGTCGCTGCTGCTGGCAGCCGCTGCAGCTGCACCGCTGCTCCGAACCGAACTCTGCTTAGGCTTAATGGTCATCATCCTCTTCTTCTGGTGCTCGATGGGGAACTGCTGCTGGCCTGCGGTCCTCGCTGCACTCGCCACCACTGCTGCATCGTACTTCTCCTTCTCCACCGCGCTCGCGTGAACCTTCGGCTGCATAGCCATATCCATAGCCTGCTGCTTCTGCTGCTGCAGCAGCTGCTGCTGTGGCGACGGGACCTTCGGGAGCACGGGCATCTCAGGCGCAGCATCCGCGGCAGCTGGAATGGTTGGCTCCTCGAAGCTGGCGTGCTGCTGGCTGTTCGCCTCCGCGTCGTAGCCGTCGCCGTCGCCGCCGTAGGGGTCCTGGGAGTCCTGGATGTCGCCGTCGCCGCTAGGGAACATGGCGAGCGCATCGGACAGCGACGACGGCGACGGCATCTCTGGCGCCATCGTTGGGTGAGGGGCCCTGGCTGGCGGTGCCATCGCGTGGGCACCGAACACTGAAAAGAATAAAAAGTGCGTGCTCCACTCGAGGTGCTGAGCAACGAGGGTGCGGAGGCCACGCCACCCCTGCGAAAAACGCAAAGCAACGCATCGGAATGGGGACGAAGGAAGGTGGAGGAGGAGGAGAAGGAAGAGGTCCCAGGAGGGACGGAGAAGGAGAGAGAGGATAAGGGAGGGAGGAAGGAAGGAGGGAGGAGAGGGAGCGAGGAGGAGAAAGGGAGGGAGGAAGCAGGGAGGAGGAGGAGGACACGAAGACATGATCTGCAAGGCCCCCAGAGGCCCCCGACGCCCGAGGATCCTACGGCCCCCGCGGCCCCCCGAGCCCGGTTTACGCGGCCCCCAGAACATCCTCGAGGTCCGTTCCCCCTCAGGAAAATTAGGCGGAAATGGCGGCAGCCATAAGTATTTTTAATGGAGAGTGGACAAATGACAAATTATTCCAGCAAGCACTGCGTCTGGATATTAACATGGGTGCAAGCGCTGTTTTGCATATTATCACGCATATTCTCCTCCTCCTCCTCCTCCTTCTCTCTCTCTCTCTCTCTCTCTCTCTCTCTCTCTCTCTCTCTCTCTCTCTCTCTCTCTCTCTCTCTCTCTCTCGCTCTCTCTCTCTCTCTCCTCTCTCTCTCTCTCTCTCTTCTCTCTCTCTTCCCCTCTCTCTCTATCCCTTCTCTCTCTCTCTCTCTCTCTCTCTCTCTCTCTTCTCTCTCTCTCTCTCTCTCTCTCTCTCTCTCTTCTCTCCTCTCTCTCTCTCTCTCTCTCTTCTCTCTCTCTCTCTCTCTCTATCTCTCTCTCTCTCTCTCTTCTCTCATCGCTCTCTCTCTCTCTCTCTCTCTCTCTTCTCTATCTCTCTCTCTCTTCTCTCTCTCTCTCTCTCTCTCTCTCTCTCTCTCTCTCTCTCTCTCTCTCTCTCTCTCTCTCTCTCTCTCTCTCTCGTCTCTTCTCTCTCCTCTCTTCTTCTCTCTCTCCTCTCTCATCCTCCCTCCCCTTCCTCCTCCTCTCCTCCTCCTCATTCATCATTTCATCATCCTCCTCCTCTCCCCCCTCTCTCTATCTCCCTCTCTCTCTCTGTGGCTCTCCTCCTCCTTCTCCTCCTACGACTCCTCCTCCCCTTCCTGCTCCTCCTCCTTCTCCTCCTCCTCCTCGTCCCCCTCCTCCTCTTCCTCCTCCTCAGGAGGAGGAGGAGTTGCGACTTGCGAGCCCTAAGAGCCCTAATAACCCTAAGACCTGAGAGCCACGCGAGCCCTAAGACGCCCTAAGAGCCCCAAGAGCCCTAAGAGCCCTAAGAACCCTGAGAGCCCTAAGAACCTCAAGGGCCCTAAGAGCCCTAAGAGAGCCCTAAGACCCCTGATAGCCCTAAGAGCCCTAAGACCCTAAGACCACTAAGAGCCTTAAGAGACCTAAGAGCCTTACGAGCCCTGGGAGTCGCCCTAAGAGCCCTAAGAACCCTGAGAGCCCTGATAGCCCTAAGAGCCCTAAGAGCCCTGAGGGCCCTAAGAACCCTAAGGGCTCTACGAACCCTAAGAGCCCTAAGAGCCCTAAGAGCCCTTAAGAGCCCTAAGAGCCCTAAGAGCCCTAAGAGTCCAAAGAGCCCTGAGAGCCGTAAGAGCCCTAAGAGCCCTAAGAGCCCTAAGAACCCTAAGAGCCCTGAGAGCCCTAGAGCCCTAAGAGCCCTACGAGCCAAAAAATCCCTAGGAGCCCTCAGAGCCTCCAGAGCACTAAGAGCCTTAAGAGCCCTAAGACCCCATAAGAACCCTAAGAGCTCTAAACACCTCCAGAGCCCTAAGAGCCCTAAGAGCCTTAAGACCCC